TAAAAAAAAATTGCAAAAATAAAGTTCCTTTACTTAGTTTTGGTGTGTGTACGCAGTGCTTTTTAACAGGTTATGTGAGATGCATTTGGAGACCGAGTCTGATGGAGAGGGGGACTTCCTGGCAGCTTTCTCCTACAACCCAGGTGACCTTGACAGTGTAATTGACTTTGAACTAAACAGATTGACTCAAAACCGGCATTGTTTCACGATCAGCTCTGTCACTCTCGTGTGTTCAGAGGGAGACAGTTCAGAAGAAGACTCAGACGAGTGTAGCTGCGCTAATGGACGGTGTGTGCGGTCCTATCTGGGTACGATGTGTGAGTGCAATACTGGATATGTACTGGACCACTCGCGAACACGCTGCACAGGCGAGTATTAATGCAGATAGTCAAGCACAGAAGTCATGCTACTGAAATCAACATATTTAATCACTTGTAAATGTACGGACAGACTTAATTTAAGGCTCTCTCTCTCTCTCTTCCTCTAGATATTGATGAGTGTGCGGGCCGGGGGACAAGGTCGAGCCCCTGCAAGAATGCACGCTGTATTAACACCCATGGTTCATTCAGATGTCACTGTAAACAGGGATTTGTTGCACGCCAACCTAACGTGTGTATACGCGCTAGGGCTCAACAGTTCCGCAGCCCACACACTTTCTCTCATGTACATACATAAATTTGATACGCCACCACTAATACACGTCATCAAATGTAGTATAACTGCAGAACATTTTGAGCATTTACCCACGTTTCACTTCCTCGTGTCCTGTTTATCATTTTCTTATTTTGGAAATGAATCATTAACTTAAATATTAATAGGTTATGTTGCTTTTATTGTATACTTTTATTCACATCCCTCCTAATCTGTTTGCACCCATTTGAAAATGTGTTTGTTGTTGTGTTGGAGGAGGGATTGTCATTGGATGACATGTCTTTTAACTTAAGTAAGCTCTTTTTATTATTTTGCAGCTCAGCACGTTATGGCTAACTTTATTATAGCTCACCATTTTGTTAAATATTGTGCGTTTTCTGTTTCTCTAACTTTGTAAGAATTAAAGCGATTATTTTTTTTCTTATTGCTTTTGGCCCTCTGTCAAACAGTTTGATATCAACGATCATTTGATTTTTGTGATATTTCTTTGTTTGTATTAATGTCTGTTTTTGTTCACCATTGATAGTGTGTAGTTCTATTCATTTGTGTTGTACATTGTGTTCTTTATTTGATAATGCAGCCATGGTCATCTTTCTTTGGCTGCACTGAGCATATTAGCGTGTTTATATGAAGTCCATTGACAGATGGCAATGATGGTTTTGGTTTTCTAAACCATTTAATTTGTGCAAAAAAAAAAAAAAGTTCTACTGAAGCGAAATGAAAAAGTTTGTTTTCAGTTTCTTAAATACTTTTTGCTTTCTTTATGAGACACAACTGTGAGAAGTTATTTTTCACACACAAAAAAAACAGACAGAACCGCAATACTATAGCAGTAAGAAAAGATGACATCTACCAAAGAAATGAAGATTAATTAATAATAATAAAAAAAGAAGTCAAACCCTCAATGCTGAGTGCTAGCTGACTGATTCTCTCTCTATCTTTAATTTTTTGTTTGTTTAATTAATTATAGTTGGGATCCAGCAAAATGCTTATGTGAATTTCCAAACAATAAGGCTGAGAAAATGGGAGATAATTATTGCACTATGAAAACACAGGGTGGGAAGCCTTGCTTGTCAGCTTGGTTATTTGGTATATGTCAGATAGTATCCCCAAGTGAACACAGAATATTAGTCCCACTCTTAATCATATCAACCACTTGATGTCAAAAGCTAGAATAATTTTCCTTTGAGTAATGACAGCTGCTTTGAAAATGGCATCAATACACTCATTAATTTACTAACTACCAGCTGTAGTATCAACTGCTCCAAAGGGTGAAAGGTCAAGTACCAGCATACCTGACAGACTCCGAGGCAGGCGGAAGGCCGAAATCCATCAGTGTGCAGTGTTAGCTATTTTTAATGTATCTATTGTGATTAGCCATGATGTGAATAAAGGCTTTTTAACTTTTTTTTGGACCGGAAGAAGTGCCTTGTATTCTTTTCTAAAGTGTTTGAAACCCAACCTAAAATCTGGGATTACTTAAGGTCCTTTCAGAAAGTAGCATTTCGAGATGCTTTCTGATTTAGCAGCAATAGTAATAGAGTTGCTAAAACACAGTGCAACTACGATGAACAAAATGGTCGGCTCTTAGATTTGTATGATGTGCTGGTTTGCACTGCAGGCTGTCAATAACAACCTGTGTACACAGATAAAGAATAGCTTTTCATAACAACGTGCCAAACTGAAGTCAAAAATGTATTTGTGTAACTTGTTGCAAAATAACATTCTAGCACTTGTTAAAAGCACATCTGAGGCTAATGAACAATTTTCTTCACATTTTGAAATGAATTTTCCAGTGAGTCAAATGTTAGTATAGGTATAAACATACTAATAATTTCTAGTGTTCTTCCTCCGCCTAGTGGCAAAAACAATCTATTTTGTTTCTGGCACTAGAGGGCAGTAGACTGTGGTCTATCTTTCATAAACCTTTCACTTTTATAAAGCAATTATATTTTTGACGTTTTTCTCCCCATATCATATCAATCTTTATAACGCATTTCCAGTTTCTCTCTCTTTCTGCCCATGATGTAGATGAAGGTCATTAGTAACGTTACAGACGAACAAGGACCTGTGTGAGTTTACTACATTCGCAACCTACCAAAAAGTGTGCCTTAACCACTGATTAGTGCACATGACTGTACACTAACATGAGTTTTCACGGGTACGATCTATAGACTGTGGTACCATCACACCGGTGTGATCAGTCTTGGCTGGTCCCTGGAGCGTATGATCACACCAGTGTGATCGGAACATAGGATTGAGTGTTTACCACATAATGTTTATTTTAGCTTTAAGACATTTAAATACACATGAGTACTAGCAAAACAATGATTTTGAGTTACAAAATACACTCGGATGTCTATGTAAGTGGCAATAATGAAACGTTTTATTCATATCAGATACACATTGTGTAAGTAGATTTACGTTGACCCTATTCTTCTCCCAGTTCACTGGCCACTTACTTTAATAACAGATCCGATTCTCTGAACAGTAAAACAAACTAAAATGGCGCCGCCCATTGTGCACATAGAGCTCAGCTAACGCGATCATTATAAAGATGTTTAAACAACAAAACCCATCCACTTGCACATATTTGACAATCGGAATATAAGTGTTTCATGCTATAGCTAATAGATTTGTGAATATTTTTAATAAAAAGGAAAAATGACATAGAGGCAGATCTAAATAATTTCTAAATAATGGTCGACTTGAAAAACTCACGCTGCGGGTAGATGGTGGGCCGAACGCGTTTTTCGTGTTGTTGTCGATCGATCTCCATCGATAGATACGCTTCTTTTATGTACGCTATTGCGTCATTAATTTGTTGGCAAAAAATAAAATTTGTTGGCAATTCTGGTTTGATCATATATTTTCACAAACGTATGTTTTATTTGTCAATAGTCCTAGGCAAATCGCGGGACAGCTCTAACGTAGCTGAACCAATCGGATTGTAGTTTTTAACTCATTAAAAATACTAACCAATCGCAGATGGCCAAACTAGGACCCCGACATGAGCGGGAGTGACATAGCGGAAATGTCATCGTAGGTCTATATTTATATATTTAACATTTAGCTATCAGTTAGAATATTTTAAATTTACATTTATAAAAATATTTGCCCCGTGTGAGGCTCGAACTCACGACCTTCAGATTATGAGACTGACGCGCTGCCTACTGCGCCAACGAGGCCATATTACCATAGCGTACAGGGCCACAGTATCAACTGACATCCACTGTTTGTTGTATTCCGTTGAAGTTATGGGCTCACAACATCTGTTTACATTTCCAACAACAATGCCATTCTTGAATCGTGAAAATAATTGTTTGGTCAAGAACCAAATATAGCCCAGCTTGCAACTAAACAAACAAACTACTAGCTATCTAACGCAGGTGACCGATCCGTTAAGTTACTAGCAGCTAATTTAGGCATTCCGCCAACCAGAGTGGACACATATCGCGGGCTGAGAATGTTCGCAGTTAGATTTTGTGCATCAACACAATTTACAGGTAATTAAATTCTTGCTTTGAATGAGTGGCCTCAGGCACACTTCCCCCATAGACTGTACTTCCCCTCTTAATGTAACATTTTTGTAACAAGGAATATAAGATCTGGTATCGTGTTGTATTCGGGTAACGTTAAGCAGAGAGGGAAAGCAAATAGTGAGGACTAGAACTCAATTTCAGGATTAGACTTGTGTCTTTATTCCTCTGCTTAACAAAACAAGCAATTGTGGTTGTGGATAGTAGATTATTAGATTATCACTTTATATTGGTTGTATTTTTCTCGTGCTTAAGCTGTTTATCGAGTCTGGTCATGTTTAAGTTCGATAAAAAGTAATTGTAGAAAATAATATGCATATTACAAGCACATGCTAAAAACTAACACAAAGGGATACTTCATGCTTGACCTACAAATTCTATCATTTACTCACCCTCATGCTGTTCCAAGAGCAAGACTACATATAGGCCTACGTATACATACGTCTGGTTCGATATCTTTGTGGGGATTCTCCATAAAATATTCTGAAGAATGTTGGTAACTGAACAGTTTGGGCTACCATTGACCTTTATTCTGTGGACAAAACCATATCTTTTTTTGTGTCCCACAGAAGAAGAAAAAAAAGTCATACATGTTTGGAATGAAATAAAGTAAATGTTGAGAGAATTTTCACTTTTGGTTGTAGTGCCCTTTTAAGATCTTATGCTGCGGAAACAAAATCAGAAATCATATTTTGAATTCATATTAATGACCTAGTTATTCATTCAATTAGTTGTTTATTTACATTCCAAAACAAATACTAATTTTTAATTTATGATATTATTAATCAACATTTGTATAGGCTGCATATCTTAGTACCCAATAAAATCCTTTATAAACACAAAAAGAGCTAACAGGGCACACATAACAAGGATGCAACCCAGAGTGATGGCAGCATACAAAGTTTTATCATGGGACAGGGGTATCTTCGCCTGGCCACGTCTGCCTTTTATTGTTATCCCTGTACCTGCTGTACGTAATCGCTTTCCCACTGTTTTTTCTTTGGTTCCTTTAGCAGGTTGAATCATAGTAATACGATTTATACCAGTAGCTTCATTTATTTTTGTTGGACAATTTAAAGTTTTTATAGCTTGAGCAGATTCTTGTGGTCTAACTGTGGTTGTTTCAACTTTAGATGGCTTTTTTCCTGTTGTTTTTAGTATTTTTATGATTGTGCTTGGTGCCGCTTTTGTTTCAGTTATAAATGCTGCAGTATTGAATGTTACGGCTGATTTAATTTTTGTTGTTGCTTTTTTTTCAGATGTAATTTTTGAAGTTATTAATTTAGTGGTAATGAAATGTGTTGCACCGTCTGTCATTGGTTCAGGTATCGGAATTGCACTTTTGATATGAGCTGTAGTTGTAGTTTTAGCAAAACTGGTTGTCCCTGATTCTTGTTGTAGTACTGTGATGCCTACTTCTGTAGGTTTCCCAAATATCCCCTCGTCTGTTTCACTTTTATGTGTTTGTTTAAAATCACTAACAAGTATTCTCTCAGGTGTGGGTGTTTTTTGATCTGTATTTGTCCATGTTTCCTCATCGGTACTTTCTTTACATTTGGTGACTGTTTCACCTGGAGTTGATTTAGCTGTTTCTAGAGTTTCTGCCTTTGTTGTTACAGGTAAAATGGGTGTCTTAAATTTCGTCTCAGACATGGTGATTGTTCCCCCAGCTGTAGTTTCCACTGACCCAGCTGCACTCACTGCTGCTGAATCAGCTGTTGTTTGCCGAGAGAGTTCAGCTAAAGCAACGGCAGACGATGCTCTTGATATCACAGATGTTCCCGACATTTTTTTCATTGAGGCAGTCCCAGGAAAGTTTGTGATTACTTGTGCCTTCTGCGTGTTCAAGACACCTTCAGCCACAGCTAATCCACCCGCTAATGTTGTAGTCTCTGTTTGAGCTGCATTTGAGCTGGTTGTGAATAGATTTATGGAAGTCGAAGACTTCATTTTAATCTCAGTTTGTTCAAACCTAGACAAGCACAGAAAACCTGTAAGTGAAGAATTCTTTCAGGGCTGTCAGATATTTTAAAGAACTATAAAATTCGTACCCCTTCGTCCAAGATGCCAACAGTCCAGTCACACTGATCACCCCTAAAAACATAGTACTGAATAGATCAGTAAGAAGGAAAAGGGATTCATTTGAATGATTTTGCTGTTATTATGAATTTACTGTGATGTGTAGCCACCAACCTGTGATGATCAGAGCACAGACATATCTGGAAGCCATCTTGTCTTTCTCTCTTTGTATGGCCTGTGTGGAACATGCAAATAACTCTCACAATTACTCTTTAAAGCCTCCACAATTTTAAAAGTGTTCATTCATATTTGATTGCACTTTACGAGGCTTTATTAATAAATCAGGTTATTTCCCTGTAGTGACGTCAAAACGTAATAATTTTCGTATTTAATTTATGTCGGCTGTGATGTTAAATAAAGCATTAAAGCCGAAGAGTAATTGCAACTAATCTTAGAAGACTTACGGCTCATATTTATTCTCTCCTGCAGTTACAGATGTAGCATTTTGACTGTACCACCTCTTGTGCTGCAACGCCATACATTACCAACTCCATTACAGCAAAACGCTCACTCTATTTAAAAAAATTTCATTTTTGGGTGCACTATCCCTTTAAATCCACAGTAAGGTCTACACACTTCAATAAACCGGTTAATGTGGTTACATGCTGGGCGAAATCAGAGTTTGCGGTTAAAAGAGGTTTCACGTGCATTGACAGATTATTATGCATAGTCGGGTTAAAGGGATAGTTCACCCAAAAATGAAAATTCTGTTAATCAATTACTCAACCTCATGTTGTTCCAACCCTGTTTTGTTCATCTCTGGAACACATATTTTTGATGAAATCTGAGAGCTGGATCACTCCTCCATAGGCTTCTTAAGGGATTGAAACTTGCGCACTAACTCTCGTCGCTTGATAAACTTAAGATTGAGCCACTGTAGTCACTCTGACTATTTTAACAATGTCTTTAATAACTTTTGGGCTGGCCAGTTTCAATCCCTTAGAAATTGGAGGAATGATCCAGCTCTCAGATTTCATCAAAAATATCTTAATTTGAGTTCTGAAGATGAATGAACGTCTAATGGGGTTGGAAGAAAATGAGGGTGAGTAATTACTAACAAAATTTTCATTTTTGGGTGAACTATCCCTTTAAGAACATGTAAAAACGCAGAAGAACGTGTTGCTATTTAGGACTTTGTACAAATTAAGTTTTAACTTTTAAATGTATATTTAAATCATATATACAACTAAACATGCCAATAAAAGAAGTTGATTTTGAAGTGAATTTTGCTTGGCTTTTTAAAGAAATGTTTAGCGTTTCCTCACAGATTTGGATAAATTAGTAGCATCTTTAGGATGTTGTGATCCAGATATGACCATACAATATATGTATCTGCAAAGCTTTCTGATTGAATAGTTTTATTTATGAAGGTCCATTTAATCGTATTGAATAGAGTTATAACTAAAACCAAAACAGTCCACTGGTGTCTCAAGCTTTTTGTTTTGGCATATTAATACATTTTTTCAACATAATTATATCAAACATTTTTACAGATAAGAATGGGTGTTCTGCTTGAATTCAATTATTCTGTTTAGAGCTAAACAACTTAATAAGCCCTAATGTCTTAGAATGTTTTTTTTTTTTTTTTTAATATTTAGAAATCACTATCCTAATATCTAGGATATAGAATTATGTGAACAGTAATATCATGTTTCTTTAGATATATTATATTTCAGATTGTAGGATTTCTGTAATAGTTCTTCGTTCATTGTTCCATATGTATACCATGTACCATATGTTAAATCCCCTCTGTTATCGAACAGCCAGAAACATTTTAATAACACTCATGTCACAAATGGCTAATTTTGTTTTAAAATCGCAGGTATAGTGGTATGTCCGAAACATAATTAATAAACACATTTACCTGTTGGTGGACTATGCTTGCAAGGAATAGGCCTACCGGTAGCACTGTCTCCAAAGGTCCTGTGACACTGAATGTTAGGAGGACACGTGCCATTTGATTTGCATTGGGAATATGCATGTGTCCGTTAGATCGCTGCTCTTATCTATTATATTAAGTACTTTTATCATCTCTCGTATTTGTATAGATGTCAAATTGTAGCCAGATGATTTGAACATAACGTGACGCAGACATTTTTGTGGGAATACCAGCGGTTTGGTGGTTTGCTCAAGGAAACATTAATATTATTTAGTATTTAAATAATATCACAGTGAAGTATTTAAAGTCAGGCCGAGTTCAGTACACAATGTTATTATGTAAATCAACTGCTATAAATCAGTTTAGCCACTCGGGGGAGCCATCAGCCATCGCCGCGGCACACGGTGAACCCAACTGTGTGGGTGCTGCACTGGGATGCTATTGATGATGATATTAGTAACAGTTTGACTGAAACGACATATTAACATTTAAGTAAATTGTGTCCTTTCTTATTTATCCTTCCATTCATCAGCCTCCGCGTTGCACTTGTCACCTGTATCTTTCTCTTTTTGTCTTCCCTCAGTATAGGCCTATAGCATGTGATTAGGTCTATTGTTGTGAGTCATTGTCCAGCTCAGAAATATTTTCTCTTTGTCTCAGTGCAGTATGACTCACGGTTCTTAATCAGGTATATAGAGAAGAGCCTTAGTTTGACAATCTGTTTATCTAACTGTATCTCTTGTAGTTGGTAATACTGTAGGTGTTTACTGTCATTCAATGGGACTGCTGTTATTAGTTTCTGAATTGTCCTGTGTGTCTGTGTCAGATTATTTTACTGGTTACCGTCTAGACCACAACAGACATGTTATCAACGTGCACAATATACAAAGTTGTTAACCATTGTGTGAATGTGTTTGAATCAATTAATGACTCACTGTATGCATATGCAATCACATACAAAGTATGTACTATAAAGAACTTACTTTGTGCTTACCATTCAATAGAGTATGCATGTGTGCATAGTATGCATAGGCAGAGTTTGGACATCCCTGATAATGTGACTGTTATTTAACAATATATATCCATACATACAATTTAAAGTGTTGCTATTGATTGGCCACTCATCATACATATTGATTTTCGCATTCTCTACTTAATGAGATGCTTGGTTTCAGACACAGTCAGTCACTTGTTCTGTTTCGTAATTAATCAGTGAGTTCAAACGAATTGTTTAGTGGATGGTTCAATATCTCAAACAAAATCACTTACTGGCATAAGAAATGAACAATAAAAAGACGTAGAAAGATTCACTGAGAAATTTCCACCATTAATGCACTGACTGACAGTCTTCGTGGAAGGCATAAACACACTCTATCAAGGACTGAAACCAACTGTTGTATAATTTTCTTTATATATAGTCTGAAGTTTAGAAAATAAATCAACGTATGAAATATGTGCATTGAAATAACAATACCTGCTCATGTGGTGCTTTTTAAATTCATATTATTTATGCAAAAAAAAAAAAAAAATACAGTTCTATTTGCAACATCTTTCAGAGGACTCACCAGAGAACAACAATCCTTTAGAGTCTGTCACATGTTTATATAAGGATCTCACATGCATTACCTCATTGTGCCGATGATGCAGATGGATCTGCATTTGAATGGTTATGTTTTACACAGCACAGAATAACCACCATCCCATATTCCTATATACCGGTTGCATAGCAACAAGAAACACCTCATGTTCTGACAGCCTGTTCTTATTCCAGTTGCAGAGAGAGAAGAGAGAGAGGTGGGGCAAGTGATATTTGAATATACAAAAGACATAACTTGGTTATGTAAGCTGCACAGTCTGTTATGTGGTGTTATATTCAAATGGATAAATATATGTGTTATTAATAATTAGGGCTGTGCAAAAGTTAATTGCGATTAATCGCATCCAAAATAAAAGTCAGTGTTTACATAATATATTTGTGTGTGCTGTATATAATTATTTTGTATATATAAATACCTATGCATGCATGTATATATTTAAGAATTATTTGCGCTTAAATTTTGTATATATTTATAAATACATAATCTATATTATATAAATATTTTATAAATGAATAACACATTTTCTTAAATATATACATGCATGTGTGTGTATTTATATATACAAAATAATTATATAGAGCACACACAAATATATTATGTAAACACAGACTTTTACTTTGGATGCGATTAATCGCAATTAATTTTTGCACAGCCCTATTAATAATAGTACACTCATATTATTGTGACTGTGTGTACAGATCATCCTCACGAGATAATGCTGGCTTTGTTTGCATGCCTCAGCCCTAAGTCGTAATTAGCATAATTAGAAAGGCGCTCTGACATGAAGAGGTCAGCAAGTCCAGAGGTGCCTAAAATATAGGACGCACACATTCAAGTGTCTTAAATGCTCTTAGTGAGTTAAAAAACGCCTGCTGACACACATACAAGGAGTTGAATGAATTGATATGGTCGTTCGAAATATATATATGAAATAAAGTGATTATTTGGTCACTGGGAGATCCCAATTGTTTTGACTCTGGAATGCATAAATCTGCGTTTCAACCTGCAGAAAGACGAGCAGAACAAACCTCACACGCTTCATCTTGCTAAATCTCAGTTGACCTGATTCATCTACAGCACAGCCTCAAACTCTCTATCTGTTTCTCTCTCCCTCTCTATGTTGTTTAATTCTCTTTCTCTCTATCCCTCTGCCACTCTATCTTTCTAATGAGGTCAGAGATTGAGTTTGTATCAAAGTCACTGCTCCAGCAAGTGAATCATGCAGTGTGTGTCTCTGGGCACACTATGATTGAAAACAGCATCAATGTCACTATACACATTTCAGAATGGGATGCTCTAATGAACTTGTGTATATGAGAGAGAGGGATTGTATCTGTCTGTGCGCCCTGGTTTCAGATGGCTATTTTAGGTCGGTGATTGATTAAAATAGTTCTTAGCCGAAGTTTGAGGCCAGAACTTTTTTGGGGGGATATCTAGGTTATTTCATGTAACTTTGTCTAAACTGAGTGCGTTTAGGGAATAACGGCGCCCTGTGCACTCAGCGCGAGAATGTGTGTCCTTTTTCTCATCACTTCCCCCTCTCATCTGTTCCCCAGTTTTAATTCTTTGTGTAGTTGTATCCACTGTAAGATATCGGTGCTAGATTAGTGTTCTACTGAGTGATAGCACAATCTAAAGATTATGTAATCCAGCCTACACACACACATTTGTTTTTCTATGACGGTGTGGTCTATTTATTTATTTATTTATTTATTACTGAGTTAATGATATTTTCTATCACATAATCTTACTCCTAAACCTCACAGAAATCTTTCTGCATTTTTATATTTTCACTATAACATTATTTACTATGTTTATAGAGCTGTTTTCTTTGCGGGGAGCATTGGCTGCATTCTGCTCCCCATAATGTAAGTGATTTCAGTGGTTTAATATCATTGTGGGAACATTTGGTTCTCACAATGTAGGCAAAACTTGCCCCCCACACACACACTTGCGCAGCCATCTGTAGCACCTTGTAAGAGATATATCATTTGACACTGTCCACACAATGCATTCTGTGAAGGATCCAGAGATAAAACTACCAGAAAAATAGGCCTAACCAACTTGTCATCTTCCCATCCAATTTCCCATTCTTTCTTCTCCTATTTTCCTTTCAGTTCTTTTGCCAATTTTGTCAAACCATTTGTGTTCCTTCATTTATTCAGTCCTCTCTCCTATCGTTTGGATAGCCATTACAACACAAATACTCACAATAAGACACTTAATAACAGCTGTAACACCTTCACATCAAACTACATCGCACAAATGAAAAAAAAACAGATATATCATAGGCAGGATCACCCTCCTGATTTATTCATGCTGTATGTTTCTGAGGAGAACTACTAGAGCTGTTTTTAGTGTTGAGGGTAGCCTGGTTTCTTCAGTAATATAAGTCAAACTAATTAAAATGCTATCACAGTGCATTCTTTTTGGTTTCAAAGAGACTCTGCATCTAGTATATCTCCTACAATACATCCATTCTATATCCTATTTTTGTACCAATAATTCTTGTGGTCTAAACTGGAACAGCTAGGTGACCTTCAAAAGCTTGTTTCTGGAGGATAGGTAGAACTTGGTGGTGTGAAAATGAGAAGGGAGAGAAAGAACAGAAATAGTTTGCTTGTCCCAGTGAGATGACTTGAGGAGGTTGTGAGAGGAATATAAATATCTTTTAGTAGGTCGAGGATAGAGAGAGAGAGAGAGAGAGAGAGAGAGAGAGAGAGAGAGAGAGAGAGAGAGAGAGAGAGAGAGAAACAGATATGAGAGGGAAAGGAAAAAGGGTACAATTCTCTCACACCGACCACTGGATGTTCAACATGGCACCTCATGGCAAAGAACTCTCTAAGGATTTGAGAATTAGAAATGTTGCTCTCCACAAAGATGGCCTAGGCTATAAGAAGATTGGTAACACCCTGAAACTGAGTTGCAGTACAGTGGCCAGGGTCATACAGAGGTTTTGGTTCCACTCGGAACAGGCCTTGCAAGGGTCAATCAAAGAAGTTGAGTCCCCGTGCTCTGCGTCAGGTGCAGAAGCTATAGCCTAATATACATAGGCCTAGACTTATTTCAATATTTATTTAGAATAAATATATATTATAAATAAGTATTATCTGCTCTCCAAGGCTGCAGTTATGTGATCTAAAATACAGCAAAAACAGTAATATTGTGGAATAATTGTAAAATTTATTTTAAGTAACTGTAAGAACGTGCATATGAAGGTAAGACCTTTTTCACAATTTCTTTAATAATCCACACTAGTATACACAAAACAATGCAGGCAAACTAACACAATCTCTACACGTTAACATGACCGGACAAATGAACGCGGAAAAGACTGCAACTAAATGTAACTAAATGTAAATTTGGGAAATAATGACAAACACCTGGATAAATTCATCTCTATGACAACTCATAAGTGGCAGGGAACTGGACAAGG